TTTTTACTTGTTGTTATTATTTATGTGGTAACAAAATATAAGAAAATATATAGCGATAGCTCTAATGATCATTAAGTACTCAAAAAGATTATGTGGAAAAAATATGTATTTTTTAAATTATGTTATATCCCGTAGCATCAATTTATACTTAATGTCGAGAATCTGTAACCGCAATCCCAAATCCATTCATATACATAGTTTTAGAAGAAATCAATTATAATAAGTTAGTAACTTAAAACTAAACAATATTTAGAAATTCTAGAATAGTCGGCTACTATGACAACCACATATATAGATATAGAAAGGCATATGGAAATTATATTTGCACTATATACTTAATAGATTATAAGATTTGTAATCAGAAGGTCTTCTTTTGAAAAGACATTCTTCAAAAGTTCTTCTGCGGCTAGATAAACTTCCTACTTTCTTCCATAGACAGAAGGATATCCAAAGGCCTCTATAAAAAAAACAGTAAAGAAAGTACATAAAACGGGTGGACCAATTTTATGACACTCTACAAAACTATGAAGTCGAATGGAGCAAAATATGTTTAGTTTTGAAATGTTATTCTGTGGAGACCACAAAGTCTGAAAGGTGTTCTGTCTACAGAAGGGGTGTAGTCCTTGAAAGGTCTTTAATAACAGATCATCTCTTGGTACGTTTCGATCGTTGAAAATTTGAAGGTCTTTTAAAAATAGAAATCCTGTTCAATGTCTTCTTCTCTAATTAGAACATTTAGAGGGTTTCTAGAAAAAGGACACCCATTGAAAGACCTCCTTTTCATAGAAGGACTCTTGAAGGCCTTTATGATGTTCCGGTTATTGAGAGTCCGAGAAAATTGTGTATGCTTCCATATTTTTACTTGACGGTTTTGAAAATATTTTCAGATGATTTTCATCAGTTTTCAGATATTTGGCGATCTTCAAGTGTATCCCAATGTATGTTTTGTCTCCCAATATATGTTTTGTATATATATTGGGAGATACTTAAAGATCGCCAAATATCTGAAAACTGAAGAAAATCATCTAAAAATATTTTTAAAAAATGTCAGGTAAAAATATGGAAGCATACACAATTTATCTGACTCTCAATAACCGGAACATCAAAATTCAAAGATCTCTTAGCAACTCTCAGATTACCCTGGCAGCTATTTAGATTCTTGTAGTATATATTTCTCTTCAATTTGAGGAGAGGGAAACTGTACCAAATTAATTATTTTAACGCGGAATCATAGCAACTTCAAGATAATTTCGAATTCAACTTCGGAACGAACTTTGTTATCTTGTTAACCTGAAAGAGAACATGCTGTGTTCTCTGCTTAAGTCATTATACCCTCCACCATACTATGGAGAGTATATTATGTTTTTCATTACGTTTGTAATTCCGGTATTGAAAACATAACACATAGGTCTATATATGGAAAAGCCAATATATGTATTTAAAATGCTTTCTTCAGCGGATTTTTTTTTTTGGAAATTTGACGAGGCAAGTTCATATTACAAAAGTGGCATATTCTGGACCTCGGCACTTATAGGCATCCTGACAAATGAACACCACCTATCATTACCAGATCTATGAGTGATCTTTACTATCGGAGAGTTGGAAACCATTTGTCGAGGATATAAATAACCGAGTTTCTGTCCAGATTTCTGCGAAGTTCTGGAACCCTATCACCAAGGCATATGATTCAAACAGATGTACAGTCTGTGATAACCACGAGATCGTCATTGCAGCAGATTTTTTGATTCTTCAAAAAGTTTAAAATTTCTATGACCTTCGTAGCCATCGGTCAACAAAAATAGGGGAGAAGTCTTTAAAATCACAACCTTCACATGGGTTCTGACAGGATCTTGCGCGATCTACAGGTTTGACCTAGAAGCATTCGTAGGCTTTTCGAAGCTACTTTTTCGTCGTCTTCATAGTCCGGTGAGCTCATTGACTTTAAGATCGTTACGATTAGGAAAAATTGCTTACCCTTAATAATATTTTGATTTTCATGGGCGATCAGAAACATTAGCAGGGTTCTCCTAAAGTAAATTGTTAGAATTGGACATGGTGTTGTCCGTGGTTTCTGTTATGGCTGTCAGGAATAGGTTGTGTTAAATATCAGACTAAGTTCTTCGCTTGTTTATTGTGATGGAACTAACTTCTATCAATTCAAATCAGCAGTTTCACGAATACAACTTCTACAGGGTGAGATAAAAAAACTGCAACTATGGCATATAATTTTTACATTTTTTTAAATTGTATTCAATGAAAGCAAAAATTGTCGGAAGTAGCATCAAATTTTAGAATAAGTTTAGATTTGTTCGAATTGGTTACCTTTGGCACGAATTATGAACTTCAAATGGCCAATGAAACCGTCACACGCTGCCCGAATGTTGATCTGCGGTATTTTGGCCCATTCCCGACAAAGCGCTTGCTTGAGGTGTTCGACATTTTCATATTTTTTAGTGCCAACCTTACTTTCCAATATACTCCAGATACAATTGTCCAACGGATTGGTATCCGGAGATTTTGGTGGCTATTGTGCGCTGGAAATGAAGCGAGGAACCTCATTTTGTTACCATTCTTGGGTGGCATGTGCTGAGTGCGATGGTGCTGAATCCTGTTGGAATGTCCAAGGTCTGCGGCCAAAATGTTTGCGTACCCAAGGCTTTAATACACCCTCCAGAATATTTTCGCGTTAATACTCGGCATTTATTCTGATGCGGTCGATTAATACGAGTGAAAAGCGACCATCGGCTGTTATGGCGGCCCACATCATCACTATGGCCGGCGCTTGAGTTATCGTGGCCAACCGAATGTGCACATTTTCAGCTGATCTCTTTGGCAAGTTAACACGATCATTTTGTGCTGGACGATCAAACTGCTGGACAACGAATGTTTTCTCATCGGAGAAAACCAAATTCGGCAGTACACCACTTTCGGCAAAGCGAAGCAACTCTTTAGCTCTTTTGAGTCTATTTTCTTTCTGTTGCGGTGTAGGTTCTTGCACTTTTTGTTACTGCAATGGCTTTACCCCAGCGTTCGAAAATAAACAGTACACAAACATTGTGCACTGTACGGGTACAGTATCACTAAAAAAAATTTAGCGGCAGTGTACCGGTGTACCACTCCACCTCGGAACGGTACAGAACACTATGGTACAGTATCATACTGCTTATGCTGCTTTACCCCGAGATCATTTTTCAATATTTGCCGAATGTAATATTGCGATATGTTCAGCTCACGAGCCATTTTTCGGCCACTACGACGCGGGTTTCGATCAAGACGATTCTTTACTTTTTGAACCATTTCTGCTGATGTTTCTGTTTTCTTCCGTCCACTTCCTTGACGTCGGGCTACGCTACCAGTATCACGGTAACGAGCGATGCTACGAGACATCTAACGATAGCCACTTGTGGTTTTTCAGCCAAATATAAAGAAATCACACTATCACGCTTGGATTCCATCACGAATAACTGTTTTTCTGGAAAATTCTCACCAAAATGCTTTTGTACGCTTGTGAACTATATAATGAGCTGTCACTGGAATAATTATAACAGCTGTCGAACGAGTGGCTTAGAAATGACAGCAGTCTGAAGTTGGTTGCAGTTTTTTTCATCTCACCCTGTATAATGGAATTCCGCAAGGCAGTGTATTAGGCCCTATCTTATACACCCTGTACACTGAAAAATCAAGTCATATTACTTTTTCACTACGAAGAGGAGACTGCCCCCCAGTTATTATTAATAACGAACCAATTCCCAAGCATAACACGGTGAAATATCTTGGAATGACGCTGGACCGCAGTCTCACCTGGAAACCGCATATTAAGGCAAAACAAAACATGCTGAAAATTAAAAGCCGCAAGCTTTATTGGCTACTAGGACCTAAATCTAAACTTAATTTAAACAACAAAATTCGCGTGTATAAAGCTATACTAAAACCGGTTTGGACGTATGGCATCCAATTATGGGGAACATCTTGTAAATCGAACATAAATATTATACAAAGGTTTCAATCGAAGATGTTACGATTAATTACAAATGCCCCATGGTATGTCAGGAATAGTACGATATCAAGAGATCTGCAAGTACGCACAGTGGAAGAAGAGATTAAAAGACTAAGTAGAAACTACAATGAAAGACTTCAAAACCATCCAAACCCTCTTGCCAAATCTCTATTGGACAACATAAATGAAACAAGAAGACTGAAGAGAAAGCACGTACTAGATTTAAGTATTTGAGGAATTGCATTTATAAAATGTATATCTTCTTTTTAATTATGTCATTTACAATTATGTATCTTACTGAAGTTACATAATTCCTGTTAACTTTACTTTATCTAATTTGCTTATTGTCTAGTTTTAAAGATAGATTGCAAATAAAGAAACAAATTTATATTAATAAAAAAAAAAACCCTGTATAATATTAACATTTTTATAGAATTGTGCTTATGTCGTAAATTAAATCTCTAAATCTTTAAATTAAATCTTTTAAAAAATTAATAACTAATTTTCCATATGCCTTTTCGATAGTTATAGAATTCTAACATCATCATGTTTTAGCCAAAGATTAAAACTCTCTGTAAATAAACTTTGTAAATAAGGTTAAAAACTTGCCATTACCCACCCACTAACAATTCAATGCACACTCAGATCAAAGCGATATCTGCTCTAGCTGTAAACGTCAACTTTTTTAAGCTTAATGCAAAACAACAAAAAAACAACAAAAACTAACTAACAAAAAACTTAAATTTCACCTCTGCACAAATGCCTCATGGCCAATTTCATATTAAAAAATGAAATAATTTGCACTTAAATTCTGAATTATTTGTAATGATGCAAATGTTTGGTGGGCAGTTGGTGGGTGGTCATTCCAACAGAACAACAACAATGCACCGCTCACCACATTGAACGGCTACCCAACAGACACTTGCATCCGATACAAATGCACAAGAACGACAACAACAACAACAAGTATTGTATATTTTTCATATAAAATCTACAAAATCAGGTGCAACTGGATGAAGCAACCGATGCCTGGGGTATTAAAGTTGAACGTGTTGAAATGTAAGCGAAATTAAAAATTAAACCCAAATCATTTTTGGTAGAATTGTTGGTTCTTAATTTCATTTGTATTGTTATTATTATCTTTTAATCCCGCCTCCCGATCATCATAAAAAAACAAAAACAAAAACCAAAAAAAAATTACAAAAAACACACACACATACTTGCATCCATCAACATCATCATCAACCAATCGACCGACCAACCAACCACACACAACAAAAAAACAACAACCTCATCGACGACCGCAGTAAGGACGTACGATTGCCCGTGCAATTGCAAAGGGCAATGGCCGCCGAGGCTGAAGCGGCCCGTGAGGCAAGAGCCAAAGTTATTGCAGCCGAGGGTGAACAGAAAGCCTCGAAAGCGCTGAGGGAAGCATCCGAAGTGATTGGTGGTTCACCGGCAGCATTACAATTAAGATATCTACAGGTATGTATGAACAAATTACAAAAACAATAACCAAACAACGACAACAAAGTCCTTTCTGACAGAATTAAAAAAAAAAAAAAGTTGAAAACAAAAAGGTTGTTGACCAACACTTATTGCAAACAAATAATTATAACATTATAACATTATAATTATATTATAACAAATTAAAAGAACTTTTGTGGTTTGAATAATTGGAGAAAGAGTTTCCATAAGGGATTCGGATTAAAGGACTCTTAATAACTTGGAATGGATAAAAAAGTCAAAGGCAATTAAAATAAATCTGCTAATCTACTTCGTTGCCTTTAGATATGAAGAATACTTAATTATTCAATGCATGGTACAATGAAGATAAGGTAGGCTAACTTTGAAAAAATTGCAAGTATAGAGGTCTACCTGTTTGGCTTGTAATGTCAGAATTACTATCAAAACAATAAAAAATTAAAATCATATTAAGCCAGAAAAATAACAAAATTAAAATCATATGGTAGTTCTGCCCAATGAATTCAAGGTAGGGCAGAACTACCATATGATTTTATTTTTTTTATTTTTCTGGCTTAATATGTCAACTACAATTGTTTATGTGTGTGTATTCTTTTGAATAATAAAAAAACTTGTTCAGAAAATATTCAAATTCGGGTGTTTTCAAAATGCTTATTGCAACGTATGCATCGACAAAATCTACAGTTTTTGTCGCGAAATAAACCATAAGAGATATATAGAACATGTTTTTGGAAAGAAATTTTGACCCTTCATTCAGTTTTCGCGGTTTTAAATTATTTATTCAAAATCAATGCAACAAGTTGTTTGATTTTTTATTGTTTTGATAGTAATTCTGACATTACAAGCCAAACAGGTAGACCTCTATACTTGCAATTTTTTCAAAGTTAGCCTACCTTATCTTCATTGTACCATGGTTCTGCCCTACCTTGAATTCATTGTACCATGATTCAATGTACATTTAAATAGCAATTAAAAGAAGACAATTGTAAATGCTGAAGACAAATGGGTTCTACTTCAAGACCATTCACAGGTTTTTGTCAAGGGACTTTCCGATAGATTCATTTTTAAATGTCTCTTGAATATTATAACATCTATATATCTCCCTTAGAGAATAAAATATTGAAGGATCTTTATCCGTTTTAACTCAAATAATAGCCTTTTAAGAACATAAGTCTTTGTATTCAAGCCATCTTTATGTAGATTATAACCTGATTCTCTATGGAAATTTAAAGGGTCTTCCACATAGAGGCTTCCATACGAGTTCAAAAGAATGAAGACCGAAAAAATAGGCCTTTTGCCTGTGGAAAACATGTCTCCTGCAAATATAATACAGAGTTGCCCATCTGGCAACGCCATAACTTTTGACAGAGATGTCACATCGCTTAATGACATACCGCGTTTGAAGCGTCAGTCCAAGCAGATTTTTACCATGAACCAATACACGCCACGCGAAATAGTTGAAATTTACATTCAACAGATGAAGTCAACTGTGAAAACTCAACGTGCTTTTAAAACATTAAAAAATGTGAGAAGTGCGCCTTCTAAGAACACCATTAAGCGTTTATACGAAAAATTTTCGACTGGTAAGGCTCTTTCTAATCCGAAGAGGCCATATAAAAGTCGACCAAGGCGATCGGCCGAGAATATCGCTGCCGTACGAGCCAGTGTTGAGAGGTACCCAAGAACATCCCAAAAACGCCGTTCTCAGCAGTTGGGCATGGCTCGGTCCACTTTACAACGGATTATTCGCATTGATTTGCATTTGTTCCCGTAAAAAATTCAATTGACGAAAAGAATGTTACCTGCGGACAAGCCTCGTCGATTGGAATGGGCCCAAAGAGTCATCGAAATGGCCATGGGTCCGTCGAATATGGGCAACCCTGTACATGTCAGAATACCATTTATTGGTCTTCTATGTAACTTTCGAATAACGTATACAGACAGCCCTCATATAGATAGAAAACTTATAGAGCTTTCTGTATAAATACCACATTCAGTGACCTACTACGTCCATAATTTTCCTGTACAATGAAGAACTTCTAAGATCTTCCTCAAACAGAATTATTTCATAGATATTCTGAAGATACACACTTTTTCTAGCAGAAGATCTTCGTAGCTTTTCTGTAAATGAAATCCCTTAAGAGCTTCTGCAGCAAAAATAAAACTACTACACAGAGACGATTCTCAAAGCTCTTCTTCAGATAAAATGCCATTAAAATTTATTTACAAACAGAAGACTTTTGAACCTTTTACAAACATTATTTACAGCACCACTTTTTACCTTCGCGATACCTTCAAAATACTTCTGGAGTGGAAAATCGTCGAAGTCAAAGCTCCTCCATAGACGGGCAACCGTTATAACTAACTATAGACTGAAGATCATTAAATCTCTTCTATAGATAGAAGACCTCCAGAGCTCCTATGAATAGCAGGCCTTTAAAGCTCTTCTATGAATAGGAAGCCTTTAAAGCTCTTCTACAGATAGAAGACATCTAGGGCTTCTATGAATAGGGGGCCTTAAAAGCTCTTCTATGAATAGAAGGATTTCAAAACTCTTCTATGGATAGAAGGATTTTACAGCTCTTCTATGAATAGACGGCCTTCGAAGCTCTTTTGAAGACATTTGAACCTTTTACAAACATTATTAAAAGCACCTCTTTTTACCTTCACGATACCTTCAAAATACTTCTGGAGTGGGAAGTCGTCGAAGTCAAAGCTCCTCCATAGACAGACAACCGTTGAAACTAACTATAGACTGAAGATCATTAAATCTCTTCTATAGATAGAAGACCTCCAGAGCTTCCATGAATAGCAGGCCTTTAAAGCTCTTCTATGAATAGGAGGCCTTTAAAGCTCTTCTACAGATAGAAGACTTCTAGGGCTTCTACGAATAGGGGGCCTTTAAAGCTCTCCTATGAATAGAAGGATTTTAGAGCTCTTCTATGAATAGAAGGATTTCAAAGCTCTTGTATGGATAGACACCCTTCAAAGCTCTTTTGAAGACTTTTGAACCTTTTACAAACATTATTTACAGCACCTCTTTTTACCTTCACGATGCCTTCAAAATACTTCTGGAGTGGGAAGTCGTCGAAGTCAAAGCTCCTCCATAGACGAAGTCAAAGCTCCTCCAGAGTTTCTATGAATAGGAGGCATTGAAAGTTTTAAAGGCATTCTATTCATAGAAGGATTATTAAGCTCTTCTATAAATATACGGCCTTCAAAACTCTTTTATGAATAGAAGGTCTTTAAAGTTCTTTTGTGAATTGAAAGCATTTAAAGCTCTTGTATGAATAGAAGACCTATAAAACTCTTCTATTAATGGAAGACTTTTATGAATTGAAAGATCTTAAAGCTCTTCTATTCTATTCTTCTATTAAAGATATTCTGTAAGTCGATGGCCTTTAAATTCCCTCTATGAATAGAAGGCCTATAAAGCTCTTCCAAGATAGAAGACCTCTAGATCTTCTGTGAATAGAAGGATTTTAAAGCTATTCTATGAATAGACGGCCTTCAAAGCTCTTTTATGAACATAAGGCCTTTAAAGTTCTTTTGTGAATTGAAGGCATTTAAAGCTGTTCTATGAATAGAAAACCTATAAAACTCTTCTATTAATGGAAGACTTTTATGAATTGAAGGATTTTAAAGCTCTTCTATTATATTCTTCTATTAAAGCTATTCTGTAAATCGAAGGCCTTTAAAGCTCTTCCAAGATAGAAGACCTCTAGATCTTCTATGAATTGAAGGATTTTAAAGCTATTCTATGAATAAAACGCCTTTGAAGCTCTTTTATGAATAGAAGGTCTTTAAAGATCTTTTATGAATTGAAGGCATTTAAAGCTATTCTATGAATAAAAGACCTATAAAACTCTTCTATTAATGGAAGGCTTCTATGAATAGAAAGATTTTAAAGTTCTTGTATGGGTAGAAGGCCTTTAAAGCTATTCTGTGAGTCGAAGACTTTTAAATCCCTTCTAGGAACAGAAAGCCTTTAAATCACCTCTATAAATAGAAGGACTTTAAGATTTTTTTGGAATTGAAGACTCTTTTAGGAGTAGAAGTATCCTATGAATAGAAGGCATTTAAAGCTCTCCTGTGAGTCGAATGCCTGTAAATCTCTTTAGACCTTTATAGCTCTTCTATGAATAGAATACCTTTTCAGCTCTTCTATAGACGGAAGACTTTTAAAACTCTTCAGTAGAATACATTTGCTTTAAAGACATTCTAAGCTTTTCCATAGAAGACCTTTTAAACTTTTATATAGAGAGTCTTTAAGCTTTCATATAGAAGGCTTTTTAAAATCTGCCACAGTCCTATTAAGTTCTTCAATTGAAGATATTTTAAGATCATTCAAAGAAGACCTTTTATACTTCCCAATAAAAGACATTTAAGGCTCTTTTATGCACGGAATGCCTGTAAAACTTTCCTATATATTGAAGACCTTACACCAGTAGTCTGAAAAGCAGAAAACATTAAAAGCTTTCAAATAATAATATCAGCTTTTAAAGAATTATATGAAAATAATGTATTTTCTTTCTTCTTTTTATAGATTACTATCTGCTCTTTCCAAAGCAGAACAAAAGAAAAGCTTGCCTTAAATTTGCAGAACTATAAGTCTAGCATAGACAAACTTTAATGTCCTTTATAGACGTGAAGAGCTTTAAAACACTTTTAGAGTCAGAATAAATTTAAAAAATTTTCCAGAAAAAAATATAAGTTTGAAGGGCTTCTATAGATTCTCTAATGTAGAAAATGTAGTCATATTTACATTTTGGATATTTTTCTCATGCCCCAGATATAAATGTGGTTCTATCTATTTTATGTATATAAGATTTTCTGCACATTTCTATTTCTTTACAAAGCTTTAATCGAGGCTCACAGTTTTTCACTTTCAGATATTGAAATAACTTCGAACCTGCCAACCCAAGGACTCTCGGGCAATTGGCCAGAAAGCATTTGCATTTCTCTTTTCTAACTTAATAACAATTTATCTAAACATTTGTTCCGTCTCAACAATTTATTATTCAATTAAAAATTCTCGTTTGCAGACCTTAAGCACAATATCGGCGGAGAAGAACTCAACGATTGTATTTCCATTACCCATCGATTTAATAACGTATTTCTTGAAGACAAACGATGAGAATACCAAACAGAATGCAAAAGCTGCGGCAGCAGCCATAGCCCGGACAACGGTGGAGGCTATAGCACAGCAACAGCAATCGACAGCTATGTAAGGAACGAGAGAAAAACGACACAACACAACAAACTTGTGGCGTAGTTAGGAGCTACAGTCCAATGGGGGGTATCCTTCACGCAAAAAGGACAAAGTTGTAAAGTAACAAATTTTACTAAACTAAACAAAAACAGGAAACGGAAATTATCAGCAGCAAAAAAATGGAATGGAAACTTTATGAACAAAATATTACCTGTGGGTGGAACGATGGACAGAACAAGCTAGACAAAAACAACAGCAACACAAAAAAATCAATTTTCTAACTGTGAATATATGTTTACTTTATCTACTTGCAACAAAACCAATAAAACAGACACATACACACAAGAAACAAAGCAGCAGAAATCTCTTCTCTCCTTTTCCCGCCCCCACTCCTCCTACCCCACTCTTAGGAGTATATTTTCTATGCATACACACACACACATCCAACTAATCAAATTGATATCTCTGCAAAACAAAAGTTGTAATTCATTGGTTTTCTCAACAACAAAACAAAAAAGAACAAAAACAACAACAACAACAGTGGTATATACTTGTCGTCTTTAGAAATATAGCAACTAATCTAGAATAACAAACTTGTATTAACTAACAAAACCAACAATTACATATTTACTAACAACAACAACAACAACAAAAGCAACATAATACATAAATGCACATTATGTATGTAAATTTTAGGGATGCATAACCAAATAAAACCACACAGACCGAACGAACCGGCAAAGGATATCCACAGAATGGGGTTTTATTTTGGAAAACCCACAAGTCAAAACTTTCAAATCAAAATAGAGTATGGCTCTCAGTTTTGTGGCAATGCAATTTTAGTTAATTAAAACTTTCAGTAAAAATTTGTTAAAAAAAGAAATATATTAAAAATGTTTACAACGAACATAATTAAATAAAATATTTTCAACAATGGTTGGGTGGGGTTGGGAGTTATTTTGGTGTCCATCAGACATGGTACCTTTACAGGAGGAACACTGAAGCATAAATATACTTTTTTTAGATTTTGAGGTGAATGCAACAAAATGTTCCATTTATCCTGAAATTGATTTTGTGAAAACAAATGGGTAAATTTGTTTTTAAAAATGTTATGGAAATTATTGATCTCTTTAGACCAAGACCCTACAACAGAATTGCATTTTTATACCCTACACCACATAGTGGTAAAGGTATTATGTCTTTGTGCATTTGTTTGTAACAGGAAGAAGGAAACGAGATAGACCCATAGAAAGAATCATAGAATTACTTTCTGAGTCGATGTATGCATGTCAGTCCGTCCGTCCGTCCATGTATTCTTGTAAACGAAATGCAGGTCGCATTTATTATCCAATTGAGATGAAATTTTGCAATCAATTTTTGTTTGGCCCAAGGACTAACCCTATTGATTATAATCGGATCAGATTTAGATGTAGCTCCCATATATCTTCCATCGATTTCGAATTGTGTACCAAATGGTCAATATAAGTCCTAATAACCTGAATTTCGGTACATCCCACCAAAGTCAGTCTAGAAGCAGGCACATCAAATTTGAGATTTATCCGATTTGGGGTTTAAGTCCCTCACATTCCTAATATCCATTCGACAACAATGATATTTGCTACCAGATATCTAATAGAGCTCAGAAATACCTTTGCCAAATTTTATAGAGAATGTCCAAAATTTAAATGTAGATCCCATAAACAGGGTGAGATAAAAAAACTGCAACAAAGTCAAACGCCATCATTTCAAATTTTAGAATAAGTTTCGATTTGTTCGAATTGGTCACCTTTGGCCTTCAAACGGCCAATGAAACCGTCACAGGCCGCTCGATTGTCGCTCTGCGGTATGTTGGCCCATTTCCGGCGAAGCGCTTATTTGAGGTGATCGGCACTTTGGTATTACTTAGTGCCAACCTTGCTTTCCAAAATACTCTAGACACAATAGGCCAACAAATTAGTATCCGGAGATTTTGGTGGTCATTGTGCGATGGAAATGAAGCGAGGAACCTCATTGTGTAACCATTCTTGGGTGGCGCGTGCTCAGTGCGATGGTACTGAGTCCTGTTGGAATGTTTTAGGTCTGCGGCCAAAATGTTTGCGTGCCCAAGGCTCTAATATACCCTCCAGAATATTTTCGCGATAATATTCGGCATTTTTTCTGATGCCACGGTCGGATAATAAGAGAGGAGAGCGACCATCGGCTGTTATGGCAGCCCACACCATCACCATGGCCGGCGCTTGAATTCTGATGGTCAACCGAAGGTGCACATTTTTAGCTGACCTCTTTAGCAAATATTTATTTTTTTACAAACTTCTGGACAATAAATGTTTTCTCCTCGAAGAAAACCAAATTCGACAGTTCACCACTTTCTGCCAAGCGAAGCAACTCTTTAGCTCTTTTGAGTCTATTTCTTTCTATTGCGGTATAAGTTCTTGAACTTTTTGGAATTTCAATGGCTTTACCCCGAGCTCATTTTTCAATATTTGCCGAATGGAATATTGCGATATGTTCAGCTCACGAGCCATTTTTCGGCCACTGCGACGCCAGTTTCGATCAAGTCGCTTCTTTACTTTTTGAACCATTTCTGCTGATGTTGCTGTTTTCTTCCGTCCACTACCTTGACATCTGGCTACGCTACCAGTATCACGGTAACGAGCGATGGAAAGAGACACAAAAGGTTTATTCACATTTAAATGCTATCACGAATAATTTTTTTTCTGGGAAATTCTTACCAAAATGCATTTGTACGCTTGTAATCAATATAATGAGCTGTCACTGGAATAATTTTAACAGCTTTCAGACAAGTGGCTTAGAAATGACAGCAGTCTCAAGTTAGTTGCAGTTTTTTCATCTCACCCTGTATATCATTAATCCGATTTCAGGTTTATTGTGCAAATAATGGCTAATATTAGATCAAATGGAGTGAATTTTGGGACGTACGTTTCATTTTGTGGAACTCGGCTCCGAATATATTTTTTTTTAATATAATCCTTCTCGAAGTGATATCATGCACTCTATAGTAATCTTATTTGATATTGGAGATTAAAATGTCTCCATTAAATTTAGCGAAAGTCGATTCAGAATTGGATACGCCTCCCATATATTAGTTCCCTCTGAAACCAAACTATAACTGTTCTGAAGCCAAATGTACAATAAAAAGGTAAGGTAGAGCTCTCAGCTGATTACAATTTTTTTCTAAGTGTGCCCGACTTCTGCCAATTTTGTGTATCTATTTGTTGTTTTGAAAAATAAAAACAAAATATTTTCAAAATCAATGATTGGAAGAAACTTAAATTGCGGGGCGGGCATTAATAATATTAACGAGATTTACCATGGTATTGAAAGATTGAACACTTAGGATGATATTTTTGAGAGAATATCTAGGCATTTCATTCATATTTCGCGTTATTTGACTCATTTTAGAAATGAACAAAAAATATGAAATAAATGAAAACAACTTGTTGCCTATAATTTTGAATAATTCTGACAGGAAGCGGGCATTGCCTCAGGGATGTATTTCTGCAGTTTTACGAAGATGCTCTACCTCCTTATTTCAAATAAATTCTTTTGTTATGGGAACTCTACTAAATATGCATAGTGGTGTAGGGTATCATATAGTCGGCCCCACCTGACTTTTGACTTTTTCTTTCCTTTTCCTTTCTGGTTTTATATGACGACTTTAGTAAAATACAAACTCTTCATGTGTCGAGCAATCTTAAGTAAATGAGAATTACCCTCAAGGACTTATCTACCCCAAATAAAAAACACCTTCTATGGATAAAACATTTTCCTTCTATTTCTGCCACTCTTCACATATTTTCTTTGTATCCCTGACTGTGAGCCATACATTTATGTTATAATATATGTACATCCCTTTTTTACAAAAAAAGAAACAAATTCATTAAAACCGTGATCTGAAATGGAGGACGATATTAAAGAATAAACAAAATCAAATATTTATATTACAATTTATTATCTAGATATTTGTATATGTCAATGTAGTTGTTAAATAAATATTAAAAAAACAATTCAATTACAAACCATAAACAAAATTCACAATTTAATAAAGAACGAAACAAAACAAATACGAAACACACAGACACTCGTAGATATATGACTATGAAATTAATTAAATTAATCGAACATGTTAATATTATTTCAATTATTTCATACAAGTTGGAGATTTTATTTATTTTTTGTATTTATGACAGTTTTTAATTTAATTTTTGCAAATACAAATTTCTTTTGAGCCAAACAAACGCATTTAGACTACAAAATTAATTAATCAGACTTATTAATAATTTTTAATATTTAAAAAATATTTTAATAATTATACAAAGGGAAAGATTTTTTTAGTTTTCTATGTATTTCAACTTACTCGCCTCTATTATTAATTTGCAAACAAAATAAGATTTTAAAATTTGATCAAAACCAAAGATTTTATTTTTTTTTTAGAAAAAAAAAATGAAAACATCAAAAAAATTTAATATTTAGCGCCTTAATATTTTGAGAAATCTTGAAATACTTATTTATTTCTTTCCCATTAAATATTTTAAATACTTCCTTAATTTTTTTTTTATTTTTTTCAATTTTTATTTTATTTCTTCAAATTTTAATCTCAAACCAAATCAACTCTACAATTTCAACTTCCATACTTCCTTAAACAAAAAACCTACTACGAATTTATGACTAGAAATTGAAGATAATCTCCCAGTATTTTGCCCCCAAACCAAAATATATTAAATATTATTTTTGCTCAAACTCAATATGAACTACAAAAAAAAAACAAATATTCAATCAAAACCAACAAATGAAAACAACACCTTAACAACAATACATTTATGATAATAACATCAAAACTATTTCACCGATAGAAATAAATTTAAAGAAAAATCAAAAACCAAAAAAAAAAAAAACATTAATACTAATACAAAAAATACAATAAAGTTATTATTAACAAAACAACAACCACAACAAACATTCAGAAAAATTCAATCCTCTAGATATTTATATATGAAGGGGAACGTATTTCATGACAAGCAAATAAAAACAGATGAATATATTCTTACAAATAATGTTGTATCTTGGAGTTGTTATAGCCTCAGCAATATGGCGAGAGAGAAAGAGAGTAAACAGGGTGAGATAAAAAACTGCAACAAAGTCAAACTCAATAATTTTTACTTTTTTTTAATTTTTTGAATTAAAGCAAAAAATGTCGGAAATAGCATCAAATATTAGAATAAGTTTAGATTTGTTCGAATTGGTTACCTTTAGCACGAACTATGGCCTTCAAACGGCCAATGCAACCGTCACATGCTGCCCGAATGTTGCTCTGTGGTATTTTGGCCCATTTCCGGCGAAGAACTTGTTTGATGTGATCGACACTTTGGTATTTTTAGCGCCAACCTTGCTTTCCAAAATACTCTAGACACAATAATTCAAACGGATTGATATCCGGAGATTTTGGTGGTCATTGTGGGCTGGAAATGAAGCGAGGAACCTCATTTTGTAACCATTCTTGTGTGGGACGTGTTGATTGCGATGGTGCTGAGTCCTGTTGGAATGTCCTAGGTCTGCGGCCAAAAAAAAATATAATATAGCGATAATATTCGACATTTATTCTGATGCCACGGTCGGTTAATAAGAGCGGAGAGCGACCATCGGCTGTTATGGCAGCCCACACTATCACCATGACGGCGCTTGAGTTCTGGTGGCCAACCGAAGGTGCATATTTTCAGCTGACCTCTTTGGCAAGTAAACACGATCATTTTGTTTGTTTGCAAACTGCTGGAAAACGAATATTTTCTCATGGGAGAAAACCAAATTCGGCAGTTCACCACTTTCGGCCAAGAGAAGCAACTCTTCAGCTCTTTTGAGTCAAGCTCATTTTTCAAAATTTGCCGAATGGAATATTGCGATGTGTTCAGTGCACGAGCCATGCCGGCTTCGATCAAGTTGCTTCTTTACTTTTCGAACCACTTCTGCTGATGTTGCTGCTTTCTTCCGTCCACATCCTCATTCGAAATTTTCAAAAAAAAAAAAAAAAAAAACATTTTACTGCACAGAAAAATAAAGGGCATTCCGATTTTGCTTTAACTTTGCAAATCCTAATATTTGCATTAGTGCTACCCCACAAAGGGTCAAAATTTTGAGTACCCTCACAAGACACGAAATTAACACCGGATTCCTTTCGGACTTGGCTCATTTCAATATTTCTATCAACACATGATCTGTAATAAAGATTATAGAGATCGGATCATTTCTTCCGGTATTCCAATTCAAGCTTGGCACATCCCAATATTTCTATCAACACAAGATCTGTTATAAAAATTCCTTCTGGTACTTCCCTCACAAAGAAACAGAATAACCAAATGATTATAAAATCCTAAATAAACATCCGGTTCTCTTCATACTTCACACATCACAATATTTTTATTAACCCAAAGTCTGATGTTAAGATGACATATATGGGTCCATTCCTTCTGGTACCTCCCCCACAGAGGGTCAACATTTAGAATATCCATGAAGCTCATACAACACGAAATTAACACCCGATTCCAATTCAAGCTTGGCACATCCCAATATTTCTATCAACATAAGATCTGTTATAAAAATTGTAGAGATCGGACCATTCCTTCTGGTACTTCCCTCACAAAGAAACAGAATAACCAAATGATTATAAAATCCTAAATAAACATCCGGTTCTCTTCATACTTCACACATCACAATATTTTTATTAACCCAAAGTCTGATGTTAATATGGCATATATTGGTCCATTCCTTCTGGTACCTCCCCCCCAGAGGGTCAAAATTTTGAAAATCCATGAAGCTTATAAAACGCGATATACGATTCTATTCAGACTTAGCACAATATTATCTCAATATTTTCATCATGAAGTATGAAAATGGAATATGAAGTATGAAAATGGAATACTTTGGTCGACTAATATCTGGAACCTTACGAACATTTTAAAATTTTCTAAAAATAATCACATATCTCATATAAAGTGAAGGGAGCAGTCGATATAGTCCAAACCTGGCACGTCGGAATATTCAGATAAATGGACAATATTGGCCCATTCCTTTGGAACCTCCACTATATAGGGTCAAAAATTTGAATAATCATAACAGAAGTCAAAATGTATTAAAATAATCGAACATTGACTGAGGGTATACATCTGTCGGCAAAACTGAATGATACTTTTTATCTTAATTATATGCAAGATAATGTATTTGCTCTACAGGTTTTTGTGTGACTTAAATAAAAAAAATTAAGATTTTTTTCTTTAAAAGTCCAGTTGGCCTTCATATTACCATCTCATGTGGTTCGGTATGCATTCGCTAAATCTTAAAAAGTCCTGAAATTAGAGAACGAATTTATCAAAGCCTTTATAAGGTCGGCCAGTAATCCAATCTGACTACCAGATTTGCTGTCAAAAACATAATTAAGATTTGAAATTTAAAAAAAGCGAAATTACAAAAACTGCTCAGCTTATTTTAAATTTTATGTCAAAATTTTAATTCTTGCCAGATCTTATATAGGCCTTGGAATTCATAAACAACTTCTTATTTGATGTTTATACCCTACATCAGATAGTGTCTTGGTGCATTTGTTTGTAAGATGGAGAAGGAAACGAGAGAGACCCATACTTACTTTTGAGGATCTTCATAGAATCACTTTCTGAGTTGATTTAGGCATGTCAGTCCCTCTGTCCGAGTCCGACTTCCAGTCTATGTATTTTTGTGAACAAAATGCAGGTCGCATTTATTATCCCATTGAGATAAAATTCCAAACAATATTTGTTTGGCCCAAGGACAAATCCTATTGAAATTGGTGAGAATCGGTTAAAATTTAGATATAACCGATATCGGGTAAATTGTGCACCAAATGGCCAATATCAATCCAAATGTCCTAAAATTTGGCACATCCAACCGAATTCAGTCAAGAAGGAAGTGCAGCAAACTTGGAAAAAAAATTGAAAATCGGTTCATATATAGCAATAGCTCCCATATATATGATTCATTCGATTTGAGGTTTTATGTTTCTCACATATTGCACTCCACAATAATGATATTTGGTACCACATATCTTATAGAACTCGAAAATACATTTGCCAAATTTTATCGAGATCGGCTTAGATTTCGATATAGCTCACATATATATCCTTATTCTTAAAATAATGGCTAATATCAGCCTAAATGGAATGAATTTTGGACGTACGTTTCCATTTGGTGGAGCTCGGCTCCGATATATATTTTTTAATATAATTCTTCTCGAAGTGATATCATGCACTCTATAGCAAGTTTTTTTGGTATAAGAGATAAAAATGTCTCCGTCAAATTTAGTTAAAATCTATTCAGAATTGTATAAGCCTCCCATATATTAGTTCACTCTGAAACCAAACTATAGCTGCTCTAAAGCCAAAGGTTGATAGGTGGTAAGATTTACTTCAAATATGTTATTTTATTACGGGAGCTCTACTAAATACGCATAGTTGGGTAGGTTATAAAGTCGGCTCCGCCCGACTTTTGACTTTTCCTTACTATTTAAATTCTTAAAATATTGAAATGTAGTACAATTTTAACACCCTTAACAACTTATGTCCATTCATAGAGCTGAATTACCTACTAAATTTGTTCATTTTACATTTAATTCATATTATATTTAATTTCCCCGCTTGTCATGAATAAACGTTTCACTTATCCGGGTATGCAATGAAAATAAATGAAGCAAACAAAAAACAAACACGAAACAATTTCCCCTCAATCCCAATACAAACAAACTTACAAAACATACGAAACATTCAGTGTCAAAGATTTACACTTCCTCCTTTTTAAGCAGATTTTTTGATGTAATTTACAAATTGAAAATGCAACAAAAAAAATAATATTGTCCCTTAAAAAATTTAACAAAAACCAAGAACAAAAACTACAACAAATTGAAATCAAAACGAAATTAGATTAATAAACAACAACAACAACAAAAAACCAAACAAATTGAAATTAATGTCACATATATGTATATGTAAAATCTTGTACATTTTTTGAAAAATTCAAATATTATTAAATAAATTAAATTAAAACGAAATAATAATAACAATTAATATTAAATTTCATTATATATTGAAAGTGTTTTTTTGTGAAAATGAATGGAGCACTAAGGTAAGTAGTAAGATTTTTGCTCCGCAGCAATGTTAACT